AAGACCACATCAAATACGAAATTAGATATTTTCACGTTCATAATATTATTTTGATAACAACATAGAAATATTTGAGGTTTTACAACTGTTGATATTTCTTAGTTTGTTCACTTTTTTTGTCTTTTCAACCCCTAAATAAGGGTGATTTTCGAAAATTTTAGAAAAACTGAAAGTGATGCTCATTTTCATTTTTCATGACAAGTATTTAGATATTTTTAGAATATTTTTAGGATTTTCCCTGTCGCCTCTGTCAAAGTCTCAAAAACAGGCGGAAAAATGTTTTTTTAAGGTCACTCTTTAAATTTTTTAAAGGCATACAAATCAAGTATTTCTTTTTTTGTTCCTAAATAAAAATGCACGAATGAAAATAAAAGGTTTACTTACACAGCGAGTTCCAGTTCAGTCTAAGGACACCAAATTTTGCTAATCTGATGACTTTTTGACGTGGTGCCCATATTCCAATACTTGAAATTGTATTGTTTAAGGAAATAATTACTCTGGGAATATCAACATCCCGGACTTATTTGATTTTGATGAAAATGAACTGAGACGTGCTTACGCCAAATGAATAAAAACGTATCAATATTCAATTTTCTGCACTGAAAAACGTTCTCTAACTAATGACACCATTTAAATGTAAATCATTAGGCAGCCATAACAGGTTAAATAATTAATTTTATTTATGAACACCATTGCGATACCTGTCAAAAACAATTTACCTAATTAATATCTGCCATTCAATTGAATTGCAGATTAACCTATAGAATATTTCTCCGTAGATGATATAATGTTGACAATTTTCTCCATAGGGGACATCACATGCAAATCTTTGAACATTTTTTGCTTTATTTATGAATATACAAGTAGGATTAAGGAAGGATATGTCAATAATTCCTGGTAGTCGTAGGCCAATATGCATTAGGGAAAAATATGTCAATAATTCCTAGTAGTCCTAGGCCATCGTCTCTGTTGAAATTATCTGGACTTTTCTGGATTTCTATTGCTCCTTTGAAAAGTCTAAGCCAAAATATCCTTTTTCTCACTAGAATTTTGGTATTACTTAAGTCCCTTAAGCTTTCTCTATCTTATGCGCCTTAGCTGCTAATTATTTTTTAGCTGACGCATTTATTTGCAGGTCGTTTTGGGAACGGGTGGTATTATCTTTTTTGGAAGCTACAAATGATACTAATACTGTGTACACTTAAGGTACCGCCTATCTTGTCAATTGTACTTATGAAGAGTACGCAGGTTATAACCAGATATATCACCTTTTCATCGATCTTTCTAGATTTTCTTCTTACAGCTGGTTCAGTATTTCTATTTGTGTAGATATCCACTTTCTTTGATAGTTAATAGAAGCGATGCAGTTACTCGATGCACTAATATGTTCTAAGCTAGAAGGCGATGAGACTGAGCTATATTGGTATGTCAGACGTTCCCCAAGGGTCGCATTTGGGACCATTATTATTCTTGATATGTATTAATGATCTATAATTATTCTAAATTTTGTAGGTTCCTCCTTTATGCTTTTAAAAATATGTTCACAAGTAAATAACTGTGTTAATTTTCTTTCATTTTAGGAAGATTTAAATTCGATTTTTGAATATTGTACAAACATTTGTTTTGCTCGTAACTTGAATATGTTTTCATATAAATAAAACTTTGACAAGATTATCTCATCGTAACTCGAGGAAATAAAAGATCTTGGCGTCTTAAATAAAAGATTGAATTTCTCTTCATATACTGATTATATTACATCATAAAATAATGAAATTCTTAGTTTTATTATAAGAGTTTATAAAAATTTTACGTCTGTATTCATTATTACAAAACATATACTTTCATATGTTCACTGTAATCAATATTAATTTTGCTTCCGCCCCATTCAAGTATAAATCTTGACTTGAATTCGCACATAATAGATTTTTAAGATATTTAGACTACAGAGTGAGGTATAGGGGTTTTTTCAAAGTAGTCGCTATTAAGACAATTTGATACAACTTCATTAGAAAATAGTAGAATTTTCGGTGGAGCAATATTTCTTTATAAACTTGTTAGTGGCTTTAATAATTCTTCATGCACCTCAGCTTATTCTATCAGTCTTATTAACTGTGATAAAAAATAAACTTTAAATTGGATATGTAGAAGTTTTAATTTGTGTTTTAATTATGTAGATATATTTTGCTTTTTACTTAATATAAAAAAAACCTATAGACATTGGTACTTTTCGAAGTATTTGCAAAGTAGTCGTTGATTTTCCTAAACAGCCAAAAAGGTCATTTTTTGCACTTTTTCAAATTAATTATAAAATAATAGTGAGTATGATTTTTTTTCTCAAACATACCAAAAGGCCCTTGAAGAAATTCATCATTAATTCATGAGATATCGATGCTCAAAAGAAAAAGGTGACTTTTTTCTGAGCCCTTATGCAGATTTGCAAAAAAAAAAAGTTAAATTTTTGCTTTGCATTATTTCTTTTGATTGATGCTCAAAAAAATATTTCATCTCAAGATTTCAAAACTATCTTCAAGTTTCAAGATGCTTTTTTTTTCTCGATACGACCATTATTCACGAAAATCACTAACAAATTTGGAAATTTTCCTGCTCCTTTAATTTTTTTTGCCGTGTTTATGTACTAATTGATATTTAAAACAAATTTCTAATCATACCAGCAAGTCATCATGTCAAATATTGTTCAACGAAACAATTACTTGTCTCAATCCGACCTGAGTTCGTTTATGCGACGGTGTAGGCAGTCTATTAAGGCATGACTTGCCTCCGCGGTTTCCCAAGAAAACCAGCAGGGACACTTTCTTCCCAAAGAGCGCTGCGACCAACCGATAAAAACCCCTTTATCGAGCCCGTGAGTGACGTGCGAACGATCTTGAACATCCTGTTCTTTGTTTTGCCTTATGCAAATCCGCATAGGAAGCATGTAGGTTATTTCTGGTAAATAGTCGAGCGCGTTAAGTCGATTCCGATAATAATACACCTCCGCGTCTTTTTATGCTGATGAGGTTAACCGTTCGAAACGCTACATGGAATGGGATGATGAGCGGCGGCCTCCATGACAGGCCGGGAACTCCCGGTGGCCTCTACACCAGGCCGGAGCGTAGAACGTCTCATAGGTGATTCAACTTGCGCCGTATAGTTAAACAAATGAATAGATACTTTCACTATTTTAGTAAAAAAAAGTTAAAGTATAATACATTTTTTTTATTTACATCCCAGATAATAATTTAAATATGACTATTGTTGTAGATATAAAGGTTCTAAAGAACGTTTGCAAATTAATTAAATTTAAATATCTGTATAGTGTAAGAATTTACTGAAAGCGCAGCTGTACAGTTGTAGTTTTGCAATTTTGTTATTAACGTCAGACGGACGTGATGGAACAGTTTGGTTTATGATAACACTATTTTAAATGCGCTCTATAAAATATACATTTCCTGTACCCTCTTTTAAAACCTTCTCCTCTGAAAAGTTTGATCAGTCATGCCAGCGAAAAATTGTGAATAATATTTGAACTCGCCGATTCAATTTCGAGCAGGCCGAAGCGGCCGCGCTCTGCTTCCCCAACCACCACCACCCGTACGATTTTCTTGAATTTCTCGCTTGCATAAATAACTTTAAAGGCGTTTTAAAGTAGGTTGCCAATGAAGAAAAGTATTGTAATCTTAAACCTGGTAAGTACTCGGAATACCAAAGGTATTTTTCGAAAAATTAGCCCGGATGTCCCAGTACATTTAGTGTGAATGACGGTTAACTCTGATCGGCTATAACTATGTAAATAATTGACAAATCGATCTGTTATTTTCCAAGAACTTTTAAAACCTGCTTTAAAAAATTTGATTTAATTGAATATTCACAAAGTTATTCTAATTGTTTATAAGTACAAAAATTCGACCAATGTTGAAACAAGCGCCAGGGCTCTCCTAATTGACGTGTTCTAATTTTTCAAAAAAAGTTGAGAAAGCTTGAGAGACCTTCTATATGTGATTAAATTTTCAAGTATCTAAAGGCCATGGTTTTTCCTGTACAAAATTTTGAAATATTGCAAATTTTTTTTCAAAACCTTTATTGCAAAATTATTATGCAAAATCTATGGAACCGACTTTGATGAAATTTGGTGTGATGATTCTACATAACATGAAGTTTTCTTGAGCCAAGTATAAAGGTCCTATACCCAATTTAAATGCCCCAAAAAATTCCCGAAGAAGTATTGTTTTTTAACCCCATTTTTGCGATTTTTTTAGATTTTTACCATAATAATCATGATTCATTCGATTTGTAACTAGTCATGTTTTGTAAAAAATTTAATTACAAACATTTTCCTCTTCCATTTTCGCCTAAAATCAACTCTTGAAAAGATACATAATTAAATAGGAAGAAAAATATGCCATTTTTCGAATTTTTTTAACATATTGTGCCGCTAAAAGTTAAGCCCACGGTTTTTTCATGCACATAGACAAATTTTCATTTCTAGTGATATTTAAAAGCCAAAAAGCCAAAAATCTCCGTGGATATACGATTCAGCCAATTATGGCTTTTTCAAACAGATACCGTCTGGCTGGACTAAAAACAATATTTCAAACACAAAATATTTACTTCTGTGACTTTGTAATTCATTTTTTTGCACACTGTAAACTGGTAAAGTAAATATAATTATTTAACGCAAATAGAAATTTTATTTTCCTGTAGTGTTCATTTTTGATGATGCAACTTCCATTTTGTAATATAATAAGTTCTTCACAAACCAAGATCACTATTATAATGCTTTAAGCATTTAACTTTGGCGACGTCTTGAATATCGTTATTCTTTAAGACCTTGTTGGGTTTATTAACCTCCTATGATTACTGTCACAGAAATATAATATGTAGATTTCAATAGTTTTCTAAACTTTCTTTAAAAGCTTATTTAAAAACCTAAACTGTTGCTTGCTTCCTTTGGCATCATGGTAACTTATTTCTGGTTTTTTATATAATCCTTGTTGTTCCAGGTTGATGTCAATTGCAATTGATAGCACGCCTTGGACACGCTAACGACCAGCCGACAGAAACATGGAAGTGGTGACAGCGACCCCTAACGGTGGAGGAGTGCCCCCATTTCACGACCATGACGTGCGCGAGTGGTCAAGAATTGACAGCATCACTGGTGCCCTGGAAAGGGCGCGGTTGGAGACCGATCATTGGTCGGCCAACACGATCAATTCGTCTCACAAATACGGAAAGGTAAGAGTCCCATTTTTTAAATTGTAGAAAGAGTTTTGCTGTCAAATTTGATACATATATTGTACTATGATATTCTTAATTTACTTGCATTTAATAAAAATCTACCAAAGCGACTGAATCTCAGATTTACAAAGCCATTACAGTCTACTAATGTAGTGTTTTAAAAATGCTTCTTCAATCGAGCGTGTCCTGTTAAAAGTTCTACAATTTAGCTTATCCTGATTTTATTGAAACTAGTGCTTGCAAAAACCGCAAAATAGTGAAACCGGCTAACCGAGTTCCATAAAAACCGATTTCAGATAAAACTGGTTAGCCGAATAGTGGGCAAAACCGGACATTCTAAAACCGGTTATACAAATAACCGAATAACCGGTTTCTCGAATAATTGCCAAAACCGGATATCTGAAAATCAGTGTTTTGAAAAACTGACGGGATATATGATGTTATTCACATATTTTAAATTTTAAAGTTAAATCTAATGTTAAACTTTAAAACAGTTACACTTATAATTCTGCAATTTATTATTTATATACCTAAATGGGTTTGGTGTATGTGGGTGTGGGTGAATTTTTTTTATCAGTCTGCGTCTGTGTCTCGGGATAAAATATGAAAAGAATTTGTAATTCCCTTAATAATTCAACCTAACTTTTATAGTAGTAATCTACTATGTTTGTATGTAGCCAATGTCAATAACAACACTACACTAAGGCTATATTATTAGTGTTATGTAGTTATTGGCTATAAAGAAAGAATCCGATTATTCGGATGTTTGAATGAACAGGTTATCGAATAATCGGTTATTTGAATAATTGGTTACACGGACCAACAAAATTTAACTTTTTTTTTTAGAACCAGAAACTTGAATATATATTTCCGAAGGATTTAGGTGCGCTGAATCCGAATCTGGCAGCAGAATTACTCTATCACGTCAGGTTTTTGAGATATCCTAACCTAAAAGTGCAAAAAAACTATGTTTTTCGTCATATTTGAGGTTATGTAGTAATGTCATCTATTCTTTTTCAAAAAACTAATACATTGAATCTAAAAGTACAAAGCTCCCTCCTTCGAATGCCGTTGAGTTTGCTGAAATATCTTTTTTTTTCGTTGAGATATCACATGTTGAAATTTTTAAGAGTCTCAGTTTTTTAATATGCGAAAATCTACTAAGCATCCCTTAGACATCAAGCAGTCGATTGCAATTCAGAAACTTCATACCCATACGGTTTGTGGGTTTGGAGTTGGTGGGCTTGGGGTTTGTAAGTTTTGAGTTTGTAGGTTTGGGTTTTGTAGGATTGGGGTTTGTGGGTTTAGGGATTGTGGGTTTGGGGTTTGTGGGTTTATGGATTTGGAGTTTGTGAGTTTGAGTTCGTATGTATTGAAGGTTTCTGAGTATGAAGTTTTTGAACTGCAATCAACTGTTTGTCGTCTAAGGGATCCTTAGTAGATTTTCGCAGTATATCGAAACTGATATACTTAGAAATTTCAACATGTGATATCTCAACGAAAAAAAAAAGATATTTGAGCAAACTCAACGGCTCTCGAAAAAGGGAGCCTTGTACTTTTAAATAATATGTATTTTTTTGAAAAAGAATACTACATTACTACATAACCTCAAATATGACGAAAAACAGTGTTTTTTGCACTTTTAGGTTAGGATATCTCAAAAAACCTGAAGTGATAGAGCAATTCTAAGGCCAGATACGGATTCAGCGCACCAACCTTCAGGAATGCATATTAGTGTGTCCTTGTTGACCTGTGTTATTTGAAGAATTGATTAACCGGTTTTCGAATTTCGTAAAAATCCGAATTATGCGAAACCGGTTAACTGACTATCCAAAAAACCGATTTCAGTTGCCAGTACTAATTGAAACTCAAAAACTAGATGACATAGATGGGCAAAAGGAGTATGTATATTGATTATAGCTTTCTGACAATAGAAAATGCAATTAGTGCGAGACTCATATGTAGGAACTCCTATCTCGAAGAAATCCAATAGAGATAAAGGATCAATACGTCTAGAAATGATTTGACTTCTTCGTTTCTGACTTGTAAAGGAATGAAGAGAAAATGCAGATAAACTTACCTATATAGCCCCTACGCAAATTCTCCGTCAAACACACTCTTATAGCGAAGATTAAAATACTGTAGGGAGGGCTTCCAAGATATAGCCTCTTCATCATCTAGATCTCGGTCATACTAATCGAGATCCTCCTCCATTATCTGTCTTAGAGCCATCCGTAAACCTTAATAATCTCCATTTTTTATGGAAGTTGAATTTTGCAGTCGTTTTGTCAGATCTCATCTAAAAAGGTTCTGACAGTAATGCTTTCAATATACTTGCTCCTTGGTTATGAAGTACAATCCACTCATTATTGTTCCGGATACAGTAAGTTGCAATTCTTGCTGATCTTTTCACCATAATATGAAGTCATAACAAATTGAACAAGACTTCCATGGCAGCTGTTGAAGTCGACACCGTAACTCTTCTAGACCACTGCTCCATCAGATGTAGATCCAATGTAATATCCTCGGTTTGAATCCTCAAGTTTTACCTATTAGGCATCAACTCGAACATAATATTCGCTGTCGCCTTGTCCAGATATACCTTCATCCCATTAGGTTTGTTCTGTTGATGGTACATGACTGTTTTGTACCCCACTACCTCATTAATTTCTAAATTCAGCGCTTTTTGCATGAGCGACTACTACGAGAACTAAATAGTCCCTGAAACCCAACAATAGAACCAAGCTTCAAAAAACTATTACGAAAACTATGGCAGCATAATCATTGTTTTAGCACTGTCAGGATATTCTTTAGAAAGCTGACTGCTGTCAAAGGAATTTTACGACTTTACGAAATGTTCACACCACTTAAGAAAAAGAAAGAAGCGAATTTGCAAAACGGTCTTGTCAAGGACAACGTTTTCTTGGAACAGCCAAGTAGACCTATTAAAGTCTAGAACTAAAAAATATGAATCACCTTGATACATTGTATTCGGGTATTTTATCCAACTGCATCTATAAAAACCACAGTAAAGAATATTTTATTTGTCCTCAACAGAAAGTAGACACATTAAAAGTGGCAATAATAAATTTATCATGGGATTTTCTGTGGTAATAAAATGGATGTACCGTTTCGTAGTCTGTACCATCGCAAAGAAGTAAAATATACCAATTATACTTTATTACTCACCTCATCTCATATTAATCAGTAATAAAACAGAAACAATTACAATCACCTACTCAAAGGATGTAAAGAAATAGTCATGAATCTAAAAAACAATAAATAGTAACTGTCAATCCTTTGTTTGTTAATTAAATATCACAATCATAAACAGGAAATTCAAAAAGAATAATTTTGAAAGAAATTGAAGAAAAGCTTTAGACAATAAAGTCTAATAATTAAAGAAGGCTATTATTACTTGAACTGTTGCTGAAAAAGTCCTGCTCCATTTATTCCTATACGGCATTGCTCACATTGAACCAATTCGTACGCGACTAGATTAGATCCTGATACGAACCGAACAGTGATATGTCAGGCGGACGTGACTAACACAATATCAGTAATCGGTAGATCAGAACTAAAAAAAATATATTGGTAAGCAGCACGATTATGTCCAAGCGCCACCGCTTTGCCAATTGTAATGAGTACGTTCATGAACTTAATCAAACATTGAAAGCACCTCGCCCATAACGGAATAAAAAGTCCATATTTGCAAGTAATGCAATTAAATGGAAGTCGTGTTTGGTACAACATTGTGAAGTACAGGTTTTTTATAGGGTTTCTGCTACTAATTATTTTCTTTTCTCTTCCTCTCAACTTTTATCATTGAATTCGTGTTTCCAGTGAACAAAGATACATGAATGGTATATTGTAAATGCAGGGTGAGACGATATGCGTGAAAATATGTGAATATACAGGGTATTCGTGAATTTTCTATAAAATTTGTTCTGGTTATTTTTTAAACATTTGTTTTTTGTATATTTTGTACTCCATATATCACTGAAGGCCAACAACCTTTTGAAGTTCAAATTCCAAAATTCCAGGACAATTTTGGGATAATTCTCATTTTTTCTTAGAAAAGTGACAAAACTATTTATCTTATTTACTTTGTCGCACTTTCCCCAACTTTTGAATTAGCAATATTCTAACTTTTGAACTAACACGACTTAATAATGTGATTTTACAGAACTAAAAAGTTCCAGGTTCCAATGAGAGAATTTTTATTCACTTGTATCGAATAAATTTTACCTTGTTTATTTTTTTTCGACACGTTCGTATAATATAGTATATAATTGACAATGAAATTTTGGGCAGATAATTTTTAATCCAGTATTATTTTAGTAATAACATCAATAAGAGCTAGATTTAACAATTCGGAAAAAAGAGAAAATTACCTCCCGTATCCCGAAGCAAAAATAGAAATATTGAAGAAATTGGAATTAAAAATACCTGAAAAAATACTCATTAAACTAGTTTTCCATATATATTTTGTTGGAATAAATTTCAAATATCCTAAAATCCCAACTTAGCAGAGCGTTACAACAAAATAAAAAAAATTTAAATATTTTCTGAGTAAACAATGAAAAGCGAACAAATATACAAAGAAACCTATATTTTATGTTAGGAGAATAGTCATTTCATAAAAAACAGTATATTTGAAATCGCGTGTTTTCCTGAAACGTCAAAGTGACAAATAGAAACCAAAGAAGTCAAAAGTTTTGCAAAAGTTTTGTCAAATAAACAACAACAACAATTTTAAAATAAATCTAAGTATTAGTTTTTCCTTTTTGGATTGCCTTAATATTTGATGTTGCCGGTGCATGTCGTCATGATGAACTGTATCCATTAAATTTGAATGATATAGACGATATTTTAATCAAAGGTTGTGATTAAAATACCGCATAATAATGCAAAGAAAAAACGAAATCATTTGTGGTACACGAAACTTATATGCCACTATATAGAAAATATATTGCATACCGCCCAGAAAAATTTTA